ACGAAAACGAATCTGTGGAAAAGGATTGGAATTGAAATGAATGAGGTCAAAATAATATATATATCGAATTCTGTTAACCATGGGTGCTGCTAGAGTAATTTCTGGTACTCTGGTAAGAGTAATTTAATTTTGCACAGGTGGTATTTACAACAATAATATTCGCCTTAGGAGGCAAACTTCAGCTCCTAAATTGAAATTGTCAGAATAATTCTAACAATCATCATTACAATCACTAAAAACAATAATTGTGATTATTAGAACTTCATAATATGTTATGAGAGCCTCCGTATTCGAAAGTAATCAAATTACAACAACTAAGTCAATTTCTTGACAGTGTCGATGAAATTACACATTGACCGCGCAAAAATTAAATTAATTTGTCGTTTATGTGTTAGTTTATTTGTAATAATATTTTGTAGTCTCAAATGATATTGTGAACACAAAATAAAAGCGTCTTGAAGAATTATTCACATAATTCCGATAGTAAGATTTAAATTTATTATACCGTAACTGTAGAGACTTAGTAATGCCAAACATCACAATATTCTTCGTTTTAAAGGCTAAGCAATTAGATATGCTAATCATATAAAAAAATTTACCAAGTGGATTCGAGTCTTCATATTCACTAGAAAAAATTTCAAATTACTTTAATAAGATAATGAATGAAACAGAAATATTTTACTTACAACTAATGATCCCCTTTTTTGCATTTACTAAGAACGAGTGGATGAGCGCATGTCTTACCGCAACCTTTATGGTCATGTAAGTGGTTACGGGTGATCATACATCCTGTATGGCTGATCGTATTAACATACTCAGACATCGGTGGATTTCTATCTTCTCTTTCCATACTGATATCATCCTTTTTTTCTGGGGGTTCTAAATAATCAAAAACAGTTCGATCACATATCGGAGGACCTTCTTCTTCATCTAATAGATACCGTAATCTCTTCTCGATATCTAGTCTTTTTTCTCCCTTGCCATCCAATGATTCCTCTTTTTCATGTTCTAGTTCCACGTTTTTCTTTGGAGTGCAATAGGAATCTTGGTAAGTTGTTACTTTTACTGATGTGTCTAAATTTATTTTCGCTAAATATTTTTTTAAATTATCTGCTGGCGATACCGTAGCAATCTCGGTATGAAGTTCAGGAAATGAACATTTTAACAACCTACGGAATTCTTTTGGATGTTTGTCGCAACCAATTGGAATATGGACATCAGAAAAATTAAAATGCTTCTGCCATCTAGAACTGCAAGCTATAGCGCCTTTATGTTTTTCAAGAAATTCTCTGATTAAGGTGGATGGATTCACGTAATCTGACGTGTAAACTGTTTTCAACATTTTGAAAAAATTTTACCGCAATCCAATAATTTGAAAAGAACGAAAAATTTTTTGCCTCTATCAATAAATTTGGATCGTCCCAAATGTAATGCAATAAAACTATTTTTAAAATCCACATTTAGAAATTTTTTACTAATAATATTTGATTTACTCAGAGGATATAAAGAGAGAGCATGCTACGTTAATATTTAAATGGAATGATGTGTTAAGTTCAAAATTATTTTCTAGCAATAGACAGCATTGTCTTTTTTTAACATTTGTATACTTTAATTTATCCGTTTGTCATCAAAGAACAACATTAGGACATGGTATTACATGATGGATATATTGCTTTTCCCCTATATTTAAACAAGCAAATGTATTTGATAATTATTTTCAATCCTTTTTCCTCCAGTTCTTTTTTTCTATATTCTTCAGATTAACAAAATTGCATTAAATCATATCATATCATGTGTTACCAATCGATATTCGGCTGAACACATGTTTATTTCGTCTAATCTTCGATGTATATGCCATAACTATCTAATTTTTTAGGTTACTATATATGTTATCAGTATTGCATCTCTCTAAAGTCTGTGTTTCTGTTAACTATGATGAATATTGTACGGACTATTATTTCGTTATAATGGACTGTATATATTCGAAAAGTTTTAAGCATATGTATTAAAATTTGTGTTACATCATTTGATCTGAGGGTTCAGATGTTATATCCGTATGTGTTTAAGAACAGTACTAAGTAGTTGCAATATATTTGATGTTCTGGAGTATTTTCAAATGAAATGGATTAATGTGAGTAAATTATGTTGTTTTTACAATGAATCAGTTTTCGTTGATTATACTTCTAATATCAAAGATACAATACACGTTTATGCATAATATTATAATGTGTATATATATTATATATGCTGTATATTCTTTATATATAACATAATACTCTATTATAATTAGAGTAATACAATATCAAAGATGTTGGAAGTTGTTTCTTATATTAAAGAGAATATAATCCATATTGAATTCTATCGCTCTATCGCTCTATTGTTATATTGTTCTATTGATCTATTGAATATTTATTGTTGAATAATGTATTTCGATTTTCATTACTTATTTAAAGTCTCCAATTTAGAAAATTTTTCAATCTTTTTTACAGCCTTTTTGTCAGTTGCTCTATGCATTTATAAATGAAAGTTTGTTATATGCGTATACGGTCGCTTTATGTGAGAAAAAGTTATTGGACAATTATATATAATTTTGATCCGACAATTAAATCTACTATTTAACGTATATATTAGATTAGTACATATGCTAAGAGACCTCAGAATAGTGATTGAAGTCATAAAAGAAAATAGTATAGGTTGAAACTTCATGATCACTATGGTAATCATCACAGAATGAAGTTAGCCATATTTCGAGAATGTGGAAAACATACCTCATTTTGACTGTTACTAGATTAAGATGTTTGAGTAACGATGTCTTGAGCTTGAATGATGTTCTTGTTCCCTCTCTGCCTAATCTTCTCAGATATTTTGAGGAAACTAATGAATTCGAGTTAGAGTAGCCTAATTTATTTAAGATATTTAATTTTTTTTAGGTTCGAATACAATGGTGAACTAACTGAGGGCTTTTAAATGATTCTGGCCTAAGTATAGGCCACTACACATATTTAGCTCATAGGTGTTATAATTTTTTTTAGGCTTTGTGTTAGTGGTTTAATTTTAATTTTTAAGAAAACTTAGTTGAGATCAATATATTGAATTGTTATACGTTCACTGTTTAATAATATTTAGTTTACTTATTAGTCTTAAATTATTAATCCACTTTTCTAGTGCTTCGTAATATCTATCAAAATTTATGAGTATTCATTATTATTAAAATGTATATAGGAGCTTTAATGAAAAATTTTCTGATGGAGTAATAATCAATCTGTTCGCTGCATGGGTTTTTCAAATAATAGAGCATATATTTAAATACTTTAACTGTAATTTTTTTTGTTTCAAATCATAATACTTCCTTGTTCCATGGCTTATTACTGCTTTTTCATTAGACAAAAATACTCTCAAACTTTTTTGTTGGTACTACTTTTTGGATATCATGGCGCATTATTTGCATTACAACTGACTGAACTACATACAGAAATCTACTTTCTATATAAAATTCTATGTGCAATGTGATGCTTTTAGCTATGTACCTTTGGCAAACTCAATTGAAATTTTGGCATTTCTATTTGCTTGAAGAGAAAACATTGATTGATTCTTCCTTTCCGAATAGAAATTATTTTTTTTTGGACCTCAACATAATTTAAACAAAATTCTTTTGTTTACAATTTCTGAAGATAAATTTCTAAAAATTTCTACCGTACTATCGATTAATATTTTTACGTGATTTATAAAACAAAGATATTTGTTATGAATTACAAAAAAATCGAAATTTTTACTTCAACTTTTAGAGTTGTTATTAGAATCAAAGCACAAATAATTTGAAATTTGCTGTTTAGTGAAAAATCGAATAATTTTGTTCCATTATTCCATGCCAGAGATGTGAAAAAATTATTATGAATTTCCTAAAATTTCTTTTTATTTATAATAGTGAACCTAGATGGAATAATTTCAGAACGTTATTAGTCAAAGAACTAAAACAAAAGAAATCGTGTGGAGATATCGGATTTGTTATTATAATTTTAATATTAAGTGAGATATACTGCATCAAAGAAAACTGTATCTGAGAAAAACCTACAATTTATCTCAGAAATTATTTATAAAATAGGCGAATATCATAATTTCACTACAGTAAAAATGCTTATGTTAATGAAATTAAAATTTGGTCGTTTCCATTGGCATAATCTGATTAAAGCATTTCAAGTAGCTTATTTGTTTACATTTTGCATAAAAAACGTATGACAAATATTTCACATTTTGGTAATTTCCCTTGTGGAAAATTTATTTTTAAGGGTTGCATTCGACCATTTTTGCCGTAAATCAGTTGATTTATTTATAATGAGTTCATTTATATGATAACTCATTGTATGGTATATTGTCCTTATTAGTATGGTATATTAATATCCTTATTCATCAAACTCATTGACTAAACATGGTATAAGGTCTACACTAGACCTTAATCCAACAAATATTATTCATTTAGTTTCCATAAATATTATTTTAGAATAGAATAGAATAAAACAGAATGTAATAGAATAGCAATAAACAGGGTATCGGCTCCTAAGGGAGCGAAGCAATATTTTTATTATTTTAGTTCAATAAGTTTTAAAATATTAGTCGTTATAATTAAACTTAATTAAAATATTATTTAAGGAAATTTTCCAGAAAACTTTAAAATTATATTAAAAGGTTTTTTTTATTTTTTTATTGATTTTTTAACACATTCCTTTTTCAATGCTTTAAAAATGGTTTAGAAAAATCTACCTTTTTCTCTGATATTTAGCTATTGTTTTTTTCTAATTAAATTCATCAAGTTTCTGTGACTTAAGAGTAACAGAAGCAACAATAATAATCATAATAA